CACCGTGCTGGCTCTCACACGCATCTCCCAGGCAGGCTGTGGAGTCTCCATGATCTTCCTGGCCTTCACCATTGCTCTCTATGTCGTCCTGAGGTGAGTGACCCCTACTTCCTCTCACATATGCCTCCCACCTTTAAAGGAGGCAGCAGGGCAGGGTAGAAAGCACCTGGGTTGTGTGGCCCTTTGCTGATATCCCCTGCACACTTCATCTACAACATCAAGGTGAAGGTCGAAATGCATCAGGGCTACTTCAGGTGCAAGTGGCAGAAACTCAGTTCAAGTTGGCGTAAATGTAATAGGGAATGGGTAGTTCATGTAAGTGAAAAACTCAAGGTGAATGGACTTCAGGCAGGGTTCAATCCAGGGGCTCCAAGAAGTTCCCCAGGACTCGATCTCCCTTTGCCTTTCATAGTTTTGCTTGGTCTTGACAGTTATATCAGCCAGCCCCCTCTACTGGTGGGAGCCTTGGGTGCCCCAGACTTACATCACAGCTCCTTGGCTGCTCAGGCAGAAATAAAAACGGTCTCCTCTTTGTAAGTATTCCAAACTAAATCCCAGAATTGTGGGTTTTTAAAAAATATTTTATCTTAAAATAATTATAAACTAAAAGTTACAAAAATAGTGCAAAGAGTCCTGTATACCCTTCCCAGCTTTCCCCAGTGGAGACTCTTCCATAACTGTGGTACAAGGTCAATGCCAGGAAGCGGCGTACAGCACTGTCAATAGGAATGCAGGCCTTGTTTGGTTCTCAGCTTGTTTTACATTCATTCATTCATTCATTCACTTGTGTGTGTATGCTGGTGTGTGTGCGTGTGTGTGTGTGTGTGCACCTGTGCAATTTTGTCCCACCATACTGCAGAGTTGAGTTGTTGTTGTTGTTTTTTTTTTTTTTGAGACAGAGTCTCACTATGTTGCCTCGGTGGAGTGCTATGGTGTCACAGCTCACAGCAACGTCAAACTCTTGGGCTTAAGTGACTCTCTTGCCCCAGCCTCTCAAGTAGCTGGGGCTACACAATGCCCAGCTATTTTTCTGTTGTAGTTGTCATTGTTGTTCAGCAGGCCTGGTGCATGTGGTTGGCACCTCAACCACAGAGCTATGGGTGCCAAGCCTGTGGAGTTGAGTTTTCCTCGGGCCATGTGCCGCACCTGAATGGGGCTCCGTGGCCAAGGGCTGGAATACACTGACTGGCCAGGCCAGGCCACATGCCTGCTTTGGGGTTTGCGCTAACAATGCCCCAGTCATCATGGTTGAGAGTAGGAAGGGTATTCCTCAGGAAGACTTGGGGCTTTTTTCAGAAGGAGGAGGCATGGGCGTTGGGCAGGCAGGAAGAGCAGAGGGCAGTGCAGCATCACTTGCTTGGTTCCCTTGGATAAGGGACCCAAAGGACCTGGCAGCTTGAAGGAGCCTGAGGGAGCAGCCCAGGCCCCAGCCTACCCTGCCCACTGCCTCAGATGTGCCTTGCCCAGCTTGCCCACAACTGGCCTGCTGCAGCCCCTGGGCCTCCTGCCTTCCTGCCCTCCACTCAGGGCTCTCCCTGCCCTCATGTCTCTGTGTCTCCGACACCAGTGAAGGTGAGCTGCTGCCCCCACCAGCCCCACCCACTCCATCATAGAGCACCCCACGGGTATAAGTGGTCCCACCCGACTCGCACCCCTCCAAGCCCTGGCCTAGGGCACAGCCCCCATCCCCAACAAGTTAAGCCAGATTTGCCAGCTGCCTGCATTGCTGTACCCCTTGAGCCAGGCTTGGAGCCCCAGGAGAAATTGTCCCCAGCTCCCAAGGGTGGGGCCTGGCATTTCAGGTGATGTGGACATTGTCGCTTATGCCCTCTCCGGGAAGCCTGGGTCCCTGTTCCCTGGGTGAGAGCCCTTTTGGGTCTGATTTGCTAAGAATTTGGAGTGGGGCTTCACAGAGAGGAGCTGAGCCCGATGTTGGAGCCCCCATCCCCACCCTGTGACCCTGTGAGAGTCCCTGTCCCTCTCAGAGACTCTACTCTTTCTACTACATTCCCCCATCTGTGCATGTCTCCTGCACACACCCATCGGTCCATCCCTTCTGGCCCCTGCGACCCCCCACTGTGGGGCCCCAAGTGCACAGCATGGAGGAGACCTGAGGGGGAGGGCAGAGAGTTACAGAGCACTATTGGAAGCTTCCCAATCAGCCTGGGCTAAAGGCCATTCAGAGACAGCCTCCCCCAGAAGGAAATGTCCAAGGCCAGTTTTAAAGGCTGACCAGGAGTCTGGCAGAGAAGGCAGGAGGAGCAGGGAAAGGCATTGAGAGCAGGGGGAAGGGCGCAGTGAGGCCTGGGAGGTGTGCGAAAACGGGATGTGTGCAGGGAATCGCACCTTAATCAGTTTGGCGGATGCATCGGTCAAGGCCTGAGGCCGCAGATCCCTGTGGGCCATGAGAGTGTCCTGGACTTGAACTGGAGGATCTCATGCTCTGACTGTGGGCAGGGATGGAAGGCAGAGGGTCAGGCAGGAGCTGGCAGTGGGCCATTGGGATGGAACTGAGATGGCAGGATGGACAGGCCTGGGTACCCCGTGGGAGCCATGGCCTCTCATTTCTTGCCCTAGGCTTTCCAGACAGAGGTTCAAGTCAGAAGATGCCCCTAAGATCCATGTGGCTCTGAGTGTTAGCCTGTTCCTCCTGAATCTAGCCTTCTTGGTCAATGTGGGGAGTGGCTCAAAGGGGTCTGATGTCGCCTGCTGGGTCCGAGGTGCCATCCTCCACTACTTCCTGCTGTGTGTATTCACCTGGATGGGCCTGGAAGCTTTCCACCTCTACCTGCTTGTCATCAGAGTCTTCAACACCTACTATGGGCACTACTTCCTGAAGCTGAGCCTGGTGGGCTGGGGTAGGTACTGCCTGGATAGCCAGAGAGGACGGCTGGTCCAGAGGGAGAGAGAGAAGAGGCTCCCAGGGATCAAGAGATGGGTAGCTGGAGGAGATGTGGGGGAGGATAGGACATGCCCAGGGAAGGAGCCCCATGATGCCACCCACACCTCTTCCCTCACACCAGGTCTGCCCACCCTGATGGTCATTGGCACCGGCAGTGCCAACAGCTATGGCCTCTACACCATCCATGACCAAGAGAACCGCACCTCGCTGGAGCTGTGAGTGGCGGCTGTGGGGAGCAGTGGTGATATCGAGTCCCAGGCTTCACATATCAGGGCTGTAGGGAGGTAGGGAGAAGAGAGAACCCTAGGAAGAGAGACCAAGTATGTCAAGGCAGGAAGGATCACAGATCCAGCTGGCTAACGGCACAGAGGTAAACTGAGACTTGGAGAGAAGAAGTGAAATGACAGAGGAAGCCCGAGAAGGGAGAGGGAGGCCTGGACTGGGAATCAGAATGCCTTACTCTAGACAGGGCCAATGCTAGCCCTTCAGACAAAGTGGGAAAGGTTATCCCCTGTCCACACCAGGGACTCAGCCTGGTGAGTGAAGGATATGCTGGTTTGAGCTCCCCCCTCCTGCCTCCACCAGATGCCCTTGTGCAGGGAGCAACCTGCCCAGTGATTCTCAGCAGCCCTGGATCTAGCCCAGGCTCTGCCTTTGACTGCTATGCATGTGACCTTGGCAAGCCTGTCCTCTTCCAGGGCCTTGGTCTCCTCATCTGCACAACGAGAGAGCTGATCAAGATGCTCTTTCATGCCTTCTGCCCCTGCAGTGCAAGGGGCAGGGATCTGGGCTAACCCTCCAGACCCCCACCCAGTGATCTTCCAGGGTACCCACCCTGGGCCCATGGCTCTGTGCCAGGAAGGGCTGGAGGGGCCTTGGACCTGCCCCAGGGCCTCTAAAGCAGGGACCTCAGGAACAAGAGAGGTCACATAAGTGCATGTGGTGGGCCGCTGGGGACAGTGGTGGACTGGCTGTCACAGGCTCATCTGATGGGCAGTCCATTATGGTCCTTCAAGGAGAGCGTCCACAGAGCTGCCATAGTGGTTGTCCAGGAGAAGCAGAAATCTGGATAGGCATGGCAACTTTCTGATTTTAAAGGGTGGGCCAGCCCTAATTTGTTTATTTTACAACATAATGTGAAACAAATAAACAAGTCCTTGGGTCTCGATGGCCCTTTTGCACCATGAGTCTAAAGAGACAGCAGTCTAAAGAGACAGCAGACTAGAGCCTGTTCACAGCCCTTGCTCAGCAGGAGAGCAGGGGACTGCAGGAGGGAAATGGGAGGAGATCACAAAAGGTCAGCCGGGGGACTTTGAGGGGCATGCTGAGCAGGGGTCCCTCTCTCAGTCCCACTGGCCACCCACCTCCTCCAGGTGCTGGTTCCGTTCAGGAACGGCTGTCCACGCCCTCTATGCCACTGTCCATGGCTACTTCATCGTCACTTTCCTCTTCAGTGCCGTGGTCCTGGCCCTGGTGGCCTGGAAGATCTTCACCCTGTCAAGTGCCACAGCAGGCAAGGAGAAGGGGCAGCACCGGAAGGGGCTGCTCACGGTGCTGGGCCTCTCCAGCCTGGTGGGTGTGACATGGGGATTGGCGGTCCTCACACCCCTGGGCCTGTCCACCACCTACATCTTCACATTTTTCAACTCCCTACAAGGTAAGGCCCTGGGTCAGCGAGGGGTGAGCTGCCTTGTCTGTACTGGGGGAATAGGGGAGGGGAAGGTGGTTTTTGAGAAAAAAGTTTCCACTGCAGCGAGCTCAAATCCTCAAGAGAGCCCTGGATGATTTTCTTTTTCTTTTCTTTCTTTCTTTTTTGTTTTTTTAAAACAGAGTCTTACCTCTCCCCTGGGTAGAGTAGCATCATAGCTCACAGCAACCTCAAACTCTTGGGCTCAAGCAAACCTCTTTTCTCAGCCTCCCAAGTAGCTGGGACTATAGGGGCTTGCCACAACGCCTGGCTAGTTTTTCTATTTTTAGTAGAGATGGGATATTGCTTTTGCTCAGGCTGGTCTCCAACTCCTGAGCTCAAGCAATCCACCTGCTCGGCCTCTCAGAGTGCTAGGATTACAGGTGTGAGCCACCGTACCCAGCCAGGCCCTGAATTTTAACTATCCAGGGCTCTCTCAGGGATCCAGGCCAGCAAGGCGGCTGGTGATTTTTACCTGCTGCTATCAGGATGGGGAAAATCTGCCCAAACTAAAGCAGATACTCTCTTCCTCTTTCCTCTGGAGCAGCATGTGGGCCCTCATCCAGTTGTGGAAACTGCTTTTTTCTGTCTTTGCTCACAGATCACTCCTCAGGGCCCTGAGTGGCTGCCAACAGGGCCACCTTAACCCTATGTGAACTTCCAAGTGCTCCTCTCTGGTCCCATCAGCTGTGACCAGGAGGCAGGGTCAGGTGATTTGATGTCCACATGACACAGATGGAGTCTCCAAGGGGCTGTGGAAGCAGGAAGGAAGTGATTGCTATGGCTGTTTCCTGTCCCTGCAGGGTCCTTCCTCTGAGACCCCAGAAAAGGGCAAAGGTCACACTCTCCTCCTTCACCCTCTGCCCCTACCTGCTCTTTTAGCCTCTCACACCCCATTCACACCCACAGATCAAAGAAGTGTCATGGCCTACCTGTGACATTAACAGCCAAGAAGGGACTGAAGTGGGTGGCTCAGTGCTTGGGGTCAGGCAGCTCTGGTCCCAAATCCCAGCTCCAGCCCCAGACCCCAGTCAGTCACTCAGCTCCTCTGATCCTCATTCTTCTCTAACATCCAGATCACCTCAGTACTTAGCTGACCAGATTTCACAATCAACTGTGGTGTGGACCCAGTAATCTTCACTATGTGGGAACTCTATTAATAACAATAGAAATCATTACTGGCCAGTTGCAGTGGCTCACATCTGTAATCCTAGCTCAGGAGTTTGAG